TATATGATATTTTTATAAACTCATTAGGTATTTCTTTATGTTCATACTTTCTCAAAACTTTGAAAAATTATTTGTTCATGTTTTTAATATTTTTTCTTTCAAATTGTCAAGAAAAAATGGAGTTTTTTTTCATATTTTGATTTTTGATACATAGGATTAAGTAGTTTTTAACAGATTTATTGTAAAATCCCATTAACAGGTTGTTTCTTTATTAATGTCAGAAACCTTGTTGGGCCAAAGCTTGGTTTCGTAGTTTTGAACTTTTATCTACAAGTTATTTTAAACTGCTTACGCTTATCACTGTAGTCCTTATACAATTTTTTTAACGTGTTGCTATTATTTTTATGTTTGTTAAGACTGCAGTTTTAATATAAACAATATTAACTTCTATTTATAATCTTATTATATACCAATTGATCATGCATGACTGAGTTTCATGACATCCGGCAGAAGTTTATACCATACTGAATTTGAATTGCTGGTTGGCTTAGAAAGTATATAGAGTTCTGCAGTAATACCCAATCTGCACTTAAAGCTTTTCCTAACCCCTCAAGTTCCTTAAATATGTTCAAAGAATGTAAGATGAAGTTAAACAGCGCAGCGCGCCCATATAAAATGTAACAAACTATAACATATCTTATATAAATATCAGACTACTATAATGTTAGAGAAAGTAGCTGATAATTTGTCTAACGAAGGCTCTGATGGGGCACTTATTGATATAAGATCTATTCTCGTAGTAAGCTCTATACAATTTCGTGGAAGATGGTCCGAAAAAGAAAATTTAAATGTAACGTTTGGCTTTGTAAAATAATCTTACTATAAAGTGGTAAAATTTCTCATGCATCATCGTAGGTCACTACACAGCTACACAGGTGGACAATACATGGCTACAATAATCTCAAAAATGTGGACAACATAGAGCAGTTTGTCTGGTTTTCCTCAGTATTTGAAACAAATAGATTCGAATTATTGAATTATAATATTTTAAGCCTGAATGATATTCATTAAGAAAAGTAAGAAATGCACAGCTCATCTGTTTGAAGTACAAATTTATCTTTTAGATCCGGTAGAATAGTAAACTGACTAAGTGCCTTTTGTCCTACCCTGTATTCAAGAAAAAAATCATGACGTCATACAAAAGTTATATGAAAATATATTTTCACTCATTTTCATTAAATGTGTCTTACAGTATTTGTATCGGCACAACTCTAATTGTGCTTTCAGTTTACATATGTACATATTTATGCGGGATTGATGGAAACAATAACAAAATGTGATAGTTAGAGTCTTAAGCATTTAATATTTATGCTATTAATTGTAATGCTGTTCTTGTAATCAACATCAAGAAACGGATAGGTTGGAGGCTTTAACCTATCTGGATTCAGTTGGCCACCTCAGCAAAGTGAAACTATAGATCAGTGTTCTCTCTAACTTGTGTGTTTCTTTGCACATTAACACAATTAATTGATGTCATATAATGAAAGTTGGGGCATACATTTGAGACAAATGTATATATGCGTGACTAGAAACTATTTGGCAATATACAGACATTAAATGGGTCAGAATAGTTTTAATGTAAGAGAGACACTTTTTTCATCTTCAGGATATCAAGTGAAAGCTTATGAAGAACTTTGTCGTAAATAAATTATGATCTTAGAAAAAATACTGCCTCGGTGTGAAGAAGAGGAAGACTTTTCTGATACTTAATATCACGGAGATATATGTTATTTCTGTATTTGTTTATATGTTCATGGTACGAAAAAATGCTTCGACGTATGCATCGCAGATGAAGGGCTCTAATAACTGCAACGTTGCTGGGATATATATTTGTATAACACGAGAAGAATAAGTAGGTTCTTTCTTAAAATTATCTTTTTTGGAACAGTAGCATCAAGTAGATATTACTAATTAACAAGCTGTTGCCTACGGTTTCGGCTTCGGCTCAACGATGGCTCAACTGTCCACTTCCACAAACATGATGCGGCTCGCCTCGGTATTATTAGTTAATTTGCCTGAGAATACTAGCTAATTATTTACCGTACTATGTAGAGACGGTGAGACAACTTGCATTGCATTACGACATGACAGCGTACAAATTGAATGTGATTTGTGTATTCACTTCTTATTCACTTCTTTCTTATCGAAACCATCCCTCTAACCATAAATTAGGAATGTTTATTATTTGTTTACACATAATAGAAATTCATTTATTATCCATATAATTTGGGTGTGGATCCAAATGTGTCATATATAAAAATTTTGATTTTGTTGTGTTTAATGTTTTATTAATCTGAATCTGAATCTGAGTCTGAAGTGTCCAATTTTGTTCTTAATTAATTATTTTAGGCATAAGTATTGACAGTTGAAGTTCATCAATTTTATTTTGTAAAAAATCATATTTGCCGATTTGCTGGGCGCTTGCTCTGTCAGCATAACAATGTATATTCCGCCTGATAAGATAACTCACGACTTTTTATTGTTATATCAATAAAAAAATATATAAACAAAAAAATAATAAAATGAATTGATAAAGCTTTTCGTATATGTCAGGGGGATTTCTGTAATTTACAACTTTTAATAATAAACTGATATGCAAATATTCCAGATATAAATCGTAATCAATCTTCTGAGTCGTAATGTGAATATTTTTACAACTACTTCCAAATTGTTTGCTAACATTTTTATATGGAATTTCATTTATTTTATTTTTTTATATCAGTAATGTTAATTATATTGTTTTGCCATGTAAATTCAATAATAATATTGGAATGATAATATGTGATGCTAATGATAATAATAATAATGATGATGATTATGATAAACAAATTTATTCGATATTAGAATGCAATTAATTGTGTTGATGTGAGTAATGAATAGGCATATTTATGTTATTTAAAAATAAATTTATAGAAGTATTAATGATTATATTTAGACATAAAAATGGGTCATTTATCTGTATTTTTTTTTATTTTTAAAATATAAAAAACATTTCGAGCAGATGTTTTGCTTAGTAACAAAAACTTGTTTATCAAAGATTTTGCTAGTAATTTTCACATTTCAATGACAGATACTGGAACGTCAATTTGTTTGCTCTAAAAGTAAATATTTGGAGTGAGAACTCATTAAACATTTTTACGATCTCATCTCACTTTGAAATTATATTGCGTTCGATACTGAATACTGAATAAATTACCTTTTAACTAAACTCATTTCGAAAGCAATTAAATTTTGCAAATATAAACAGATTTCTGACTAGATCAAAATCAAAATCAAAAACAAAACTAAAAGCTAAAAAATTTGCTATTATTAACAAATGAAATCGAGAAATCGAGCATTTGTAGAAGAATCGAAAAGTATTTTTATCGAGTCTATTCAGCTCTGTGGCAAGAGGCCAAAATAAGGCCCGCAGCATCTTCTGACTCTTCGGTTTTCTAGAGGCACGTTCGCACTAAACTGCTTGAGTTTTGCCTGAGGATGAAGTCGCTTTTCCTTTTTTTATTTACACCAAAAGTGATTTGTTTGCTGATAACTTAATTTTGGTAATGTAAACATTTTATTGCTAAATGCCGGTGTAGCCTCTAGGCGTCCGGATGGGTAGTGAAGCACATTTCCATAATACTATATATGTATGTACATTAGTTCAAATGTAGTTAATGTGATTGATGTGCAGAACGAAATATGAATATGAATATATGTACCAGAATACTCGAGTATCTGAGATACTCGATTATATTATTTGATAAATGGAGTAAACACATTGTTATTATTTAGCACTTTTAATCTAGAAAATATTGTGTTCGGCGTCTTTGTTTCTTAGTATAAACACAAGAAATAAATAAAAATCAATGACGTATCAAAGAAAAAAATATTGATTCAGAATTGTGTGGGAGATAATTAATGCAAATGTTTTAGGATTGTTATTGATCATATAATTAAAAATTATATTAGAATCTCTAAAATTCCTTAAGATTCGTCGTACTAAATTCAAGTTAATAATTTCTGTTGAATTATTGCTTGCTATGGATAATTTTACATATTCGATATTATATGCAATTCCTCTGAACGTATTAGGCAGTAAAAATATCAATTTACGTATTTCTTCCTATGGCTTTAACCTCCTGTTCCATTACTTCTGTAGTTAAATGACTCGATTAGGTTAATAACAAAACTACTGTTAGGTTGCGCGGACGAAAAAGAAAGAATATTGAATATGAGTAAAACATCAGAAATAAAGTACTAAATGTTGAATTATATGACGAAGGATATTTGGCATTAGGTTAAGTTGTACTAGCGATCATTTAGATCTATTGATCCATTGTGTTACGTTATAAGAGAAAACTCAAAGATTTAAAAACTACTTTGAACCCTTGACAAACTGAATGCTATTTAGTGGGAGATCTGGTAGTTGGAGACTGGGAGATCAGTTTTAGAGCCCCTATAATATAAGACCGTACCGTGCATGTGCTGGGCAAGAACAAAGCAGATGAGAGGCACTTTCCTCGCCCTCTCCACAACTGCAACAGGAATAATTAAAATGGATTCAATCTTCTAGCAATGTTATGATCTGCGAGTAAACTGAAAGACTAGTAACTCTACGGGGCACTTCAATAAAAGCATTGGATTTCCTTTTAATGGACGTGGTCAACTTGCATACTTATGCCTAGATATCGGTGAGTCTTTTCATCTTTTATTAAAAAGTTCAGCACAGAAAGAACTCAGCAACGGTTTACAGGACGTCAACAATATATTCAGATTGTTTACGTGCTCGAAGTGGTTTCCTGCAGCTCCCCGCTTGGCTAGCTTATCTGCTTTGAAATTGAAAGCATTCCTATGATCGGGGACCTAGATTAGGTTATTGCATTGTATGTGATTGCCTTTGTTTTCCTAAAAATAACTCTAGCATTCATTCCAATTGATAAATTGAAGTAGAAAATTATCATTAATATCATATTTATCATACCATTAACATCCTTCTGTTAAGACTTAATTAAATCTTAATTTATACTTTTTCGTTCATTGCAGTTAAAGGTAGCATAAGATATTTGCAAATGATTAATTGTTTAGTTCTACAATGCCTGTTATGTATTGTCTTCATACAATAGGTGATCCTTGAAGCACTTATATTTGCTCCAGTTTTATAATAACATCCATATGTTTCTTCTACAATGCTTATCCTTGAATTTGCGGCCGTCAATTAATAATAAAAATATGAATTATATTTTGCAAAGTATGTCTATGATTCTTCCTCTTACTCTCGCACTTGTTGTGTTTCATAAATACTTTTTTATTCATCCATTTCAATAAAATGTATCCCGAACATGTTCTGTAAATGTTGACTTTTAATTTCTTTAATGGAAGACAGGAGCGGATTTTGTAGCATTTAAGCTAATATTACTCTATAATATAAATATAATATACAAAAATAAATAAGCTCAGATAATTTAAAGACATGGTTAAATTGTTTATATATAGAGGAACTAATATTATTAAAGGTGTTTAATGATGTAGGGGTAGAGGCAATGTTATATAAGTATAATGTAGTGTAAGGATAGAACTCAAGGATAGAACTCAAGCTATTTGGCTGAGACTTTAGAATAAATTCTTTAATTGCTTTAATTAATTTGGTGGTTGTCAGTGTAAATCAGTGTATCAGTTTGTAGAAAGAAATTCGTAAATTCGTAAATTCGTCAATGTTTCTTCTTTCTGGACTATGTATGTATGTATGAAAGTCTCTTGTTGAACGTGCATAAATACAAGCCAACAAGCGATTAACTGAAAATGTTTGAATATTGAGAAAGAAAATCATTTCGTTGATGCGTAGTCGAACGAGTGAGTTTATCAGAAAAACGGAAAACAACAGGTCTTCTTTCACCAGTTACCACCGGAATAGCCTGACATGTTGCGCGGTGCAAAAATTTTCCAAAAAGTTATTAATAAAAAGCGATAAGATTGGCATAGTGATTTTTGATTCGTGTTTTTTTTTTGTTGTGATTACAGGATGAAAATCATTGCTTATTGGAACGTTTGATGCGGTATAAATCCAAGGATGCAGATAAATTGAACGAAGAGAACGAGAGCTTCCTTAGGTAAGACACCAAAGTTATGTTTTTTCCTTAATTTTTGTCAAAAATTTATTCTTTTATTCTTTTATTTGTTTATTTGTAAATATTTTAATAATTAATATTTTTTTATAATAACTTGTGTGCTTGAATTGGTTTATGGGCATTAAAATAACACAAACCACTGTAATTATCCTTCACAAACATTAACATTAATTTGTAAAATGAATTCGGATTGAGTAACATAACAGCCCCTACATTAATTCAATTGTTGTAAATAATATAATATATATAGCAATATATATATAGTAATATATATTTCCTTTACTATAGTTGGTATAAGATAAACTATTAAAAGTGATAGCTTCTCTACCGAAAACTATATAAATAAATCGATTAATGCAGTCAATTTTCAACACATATTGTCACATCCTGTATTATGTACTTAAATAATTTTTATTTTTGTATATGTCTTAGTTTTTGTCTACACCTGATTGTTGAGCTTGTACTTTTTAAACTAGGTACATATTGTCCTGTAATGCACTTGCAATCTCTACCTTATTGTCCTAGATCCGTAATCTGCTTCATCTTGTTCCATTCTGTTGTTTTATAAAATATATTTTAATATATATACCTCGGTTTATGTTTATGTCTTTCTGTTAAATTTATGCTTCCTTACACAAACTATATTTTATTATAAAATGCACGTTTGGTTTCAATCTAGCCTTATATCTGTAATGTGTAAAAATCTATTTTTATTTAGTATTAATTTATAATTCCTTTAGTTGTGTTATAAATATATATAATTTTGAATTTATCTTAAATTGTGTTATATATAATATATGTTAATTTCGTAAATATAACTTTAGACTAGCAAATCTATTAGAAAATCTAATATTTTCTGAGTTTTCATTAATCCAACCTCTTGAACATGATCTATCCTACACAAATACTTATAGTATAAGGTAATAACAAATTAAACCATTAATTTAATGAAAGTTACTTTATATACGTAGATATTTTTTAAAATATCTTAGATGATAAATATATACCATATATATATAATGTATAAGTAACGTTTTATTTAAAAACTTATAATTAACTTGAAGTTAAAGTCTATTTCACGAATATAACTGAATTCACAATATTCTATTTTAAAATACTATAGTATTTATATCATGAGCTCTTAATATCGAACAACTTTCCCTTTCCTTAATTTCTTGTATATGTAAACTATTTATGTTTGTTTTGATATATATATGAATATTTTAAAAATTTTTGTATAAGTATATAGAAAATATATGAATGATGATATAAACACTTTTTATAAATAATAAACAATATATGCAATATTTAATTGCATATATATTAAACAAGGCATATATGTATATTATGTTAAGGCTAGTTGAGTCAGTGCACCTAAGCACTTTTACTCTCTATTAACTACTTTTTATTTATCTATTTTTATTATATATTTATACATTGTTGAATATATGTGCATATATAGTATAAAGATAAAGTATTTGTTTCATTGTATACATATATGTTATACTTTATATATAAATATAAATAAATATAAATGTGCCGTATATCAGTATATAATATACTATATAGTATTAAACATATATCATAAATGTAGTTATTAATCTAAGCTAATCTAATCTAAGCTTAGTAAAGGCAATTTAAACTTGACCCATACTTAAATATTAACGGTCTTAAGAATTTAATACTTGGATCGCTTAAGAACAAAATATATTCGCTGGTTGGAACGCGAATCTACTATCTACTTTATAGTGGCAATGCAATCTATTTCTTCAATCTTTTAAAATTTTTCTTTTTAAATGAAAGTACATTTCTACCTTAAACTTTTTCTTCTTTTACCTTATTTTTTGCAGAATTCTAGAAGCTTCTAGATTATTATAAGGTTTTTGTATTAGTTATAGTTCTAATCTTTACACTTTCTTCCTATTTTTTTCCACTTTAACTATACTTCATTCCCCTTGACTTTCTATTATATGACTCCATGTTTCTATCTCAATACTGCGCTAATATTCCATACCTCATTGCCACGTTCTTATCATAGCTTTCTGCTTTTATTTAAAGCATCAATAAAACATTTATAAAACATTACATAAAAATTATAATTAAGCTTTTAGTGATTGGGTTTCAAGTAATTTTTTTCATTTCGATTTTTTTAAAATTAAAATTTAAAATGTTAAATTCTATGATTAATTACGCTGACTGCATATACGTATACCATATGTATAGTCTCTGAAAATGCAGATTAAAAATGAATCTTCTCTTACTCTCACACGCCTGCCTTGATTGAAGACGATTGAAAACTTACGGCTGCTGCATGAATTGTAGAGAAATTTTTGAAAATGCTTTGATAATTTTAATTGTTTTTAATTAATTTCAAAATATTATTGAATATTGTTTGTCGCATCCACAATTAAATTTCATGTTAACATTTGCATTACTTAAGATTCGGCCTTGCGTTGCATTTTTTTTTATAAATTGAATTCACCGTACTAAACCTTTAAAAAAATATTCAGATCTATTTAAAATATTAAACTGCGTATGCCGAACATAAAAACTCACCACACACAGCTAATGGCTCTAAAAAATTTGTTTTTACCAATTTACCAATAAATACCACAAAATGTTAAGCAAACCACCAAAACAATTTTTTTTCTCTTTTTTTTATATTTTGAACAAAATGAAATTAAAAAAAAAATTGTGAAACCCAATTTTAAATATCTAGAAGTAGACTGCCGTCAATTTTCAGAAAACGTTCGGATAAAGTAAAGCGCGATCTGGAAGACGCCGCACGCGAAACTCATCTGCAATTCTCACATCGAAATTCTATTAGTCCCTCGCAGATAGCTGAGGAAGACATAAACATAGCGTTGGGCATAAATAACGGTGCGATTGCCGGAGGGGGAGATTTTCTATTTGGTGATGAAATGTTTGGGGCAAGCACGAAACGACCCGAATGCTATGGGAAGGACTGCAATCCAACAACAATTTTCATGAAATTTGAAGCACATGAAACAGAATCGCACGCCGTACGCTGGAGTCCTATTGAACGTATGGTAGCTACTGGTGGTGCTGATCGTAAAGTAAAATTTTGGGATGTGGGGAAAGGTAGTACAAATGATTTTAATGGCATATTATTTATTTATATGTTAACGAAACTATTTATATCGTATAGGTTCTTCAGAGCCACGAGCAGTGCTTGGCGGCAGCAGTGCTGGCATAAACTCCGTAGATTTTGATTCAACAGGCTCATATATATTGGGCACATCTAATGACTATGGTGCACGTGTATGGACAGTAGCTGATAGTCGTTTAAGGGTAAGTGTTGATAATGATAACAACAACAATGTCAATTTTACCAATAACAAAAACATCACAACTAATACTCCGAGTAGTGAAAGCGATGAAATGGATGATGAGTTTATTGTTGTACAATAAGTGCTTATCGGTTTAATTAAGTATTTAGGAAAAATGTATGCCAGTATACAAATGAACTCAAATTATTGTAATAATTTGTATTTTGACATAATAATATGATACTTATTACGATGATTATTTTTGTTACTAAAAATAAAGAACTAGAATTTCTCAACCATAATAATGTATACACAGTTATCTGGAAAAACAAAACAACAAAAAAAATTGTCATCAACAACTAATTGAATTGGATCCCGTTACTAAGTGGATCTATTTTTTAAATGTATATTTTTGTAGTGAAGATTCAAATCAATAATTTGCCTACAAAATATTGAGTTTCAATCATTCACTATGATTTACTATTTCGGACAGTCCACTTAAATGGTTGCAACAGTGTTGTTGCATTTCTGTTAGTTTTTAGCCATTTACACTGTTTCTAATTTTTTTAAAATCTTTTATTCAACCAATCTTCAAATATGAGCTATGTAATGAAACAAGTGGTACGCAGATCTTAGATCAGTCATCGAATAATCAGCAAAACTTGTGAGGAATACATAAATTAGTCAAAGAGAAGGAATGGACTCTGTAGAAACCTCCCAGCTAAGAAAGAGTAAAGGTGCCCAGTTTCATTAACTCAGGAAAACCTAAACATAAGAAAGCAAGCGAATGAAATAAAATAATTAAGCAGTAATGACAATGTCAGTAGTAAAACAATATTTGTTAAAGCTGGTCAATTTCTGTACACGAACCTTTACATAATAATGGTGTGATATATAAAATATATTTTTCAGATAAGAACTGGATTCTCATTGTTTAGATTACAATCTAGAAAAAGATTGTAACATACCTTTGAATTTTTATCGTATAAGTATATTCAGAATATTCAGATGAATCTTGTCGAAGAACACCTGACGGTTCAACTTTGGAGCTTGAAAATTATTTTAACTACGTTGGACGAAAAGCAAGTTAGTTAGAAGTAATGGTATTTAAGTTTTTATTAATGAAAGTTTCGCTCATCATTATTCATTAGCATTATTCTAAGCTACTATAACTAATTGTTACTTAGAACTTCGTTCTCAATGTTTCTCGAATATTTAATACAAGTTTACGGCCTCGCAATTTCGTATTGATATAATTTTTAGGTTCCTTTCTACAGCAACTAGCTATCAATTTTAAAGTCTTTCTTGTAACCCAAAACCTCTCTTCTTTTCCTCTAAGAACACCCTTTAGTGATCGTTTGGATGATATCGTGGTCAAGCCATTTTATATATTGTGCTTTAGTACAACGGATGAGAGTCTCGTGGTTGGACAATTGCTTAAGTTCGGTATTGCAGCGAATTCTAGAGGCATAATCTTTTGGATTCAGTAGCCCAGATATTTTCCATTGCTTTTTTTTTTTTTTTGATTTATTGGAAGTCATTTATTAGTAAGAATTTATTATTCATTTGCTATTTCAACTCATAAATGTATTATGAGTATTTACCTAAAAGATTATATATGAATAAATTTTAGTCTATATGGATCTTATCCCTAGTAGTCTCTCATGTATGTCCTGGTTGTTTGCTATTTAAGTCGACATATACTGTGTTGTTGTCATTATCGGAACTTTGTTGAGAGGAATGAGTGGGGCTTGGTCGTTTAAAATAACAAGTGGTTTGGAATGGTAGGGTCTACCTGCTTTTTTAACTATATGGTATATGTTATGTGTATAGATGTATATCATATCACGATTGTTTGTTCTCTTATATACGTAATATAAACCACTTTTGTTTTATTACTAATACAATTTATTTAAATTTAATAAGAAACTCACAAAATTTTTATTAAATATTTTCTAAAATAATATATATATATATATTGCTGGTTATTATTGGTAAATTTTATTGCGAAATGAAATTGTTTAGAAAAAAGGACAAGTGACATTTTTAAAATTATTCTTAATTATTTAGTATTATTATGTCTATTTAATTTTATTAAATAAATACATTATAAAAATATAATTTTTTAATTATATTGCAATTAATTAACTTATGAAATAAAAATAAATATTAGCGTTATATTATATATTTTAATTTATTAAAATTTTATGTTATTGCATTTATTTGTTAACGTAATATTATAGTTAATTGTTGTGTTTTTTTTATTGTTGCTTAAAATATTTTCAATTCTTGTTTCTTAATTATTTTGCAAATCTGTATTGTTGTATTAAATGTTTGTCAATAAAAAAAGTACTATGTTTTTACATGAATGAATCGTAATTAATTTATAAATGCAGTTCTGTTTCATAGTAAAAAACTTAAAATAAAAACTAAGTTAAATGCTTAAAATACTTTAACTTTTAAGCAGTCGTTTTTATAAATAAAAATTAAATATATCTCACTTCGATTAGTATCGTTTATGTTATATATATATATATTATAAAATGCAGTATATAAAACAATCCAAAATTGCTGGATATTGTTCTCCAAATATATCAGTCGTCCTTTTTTCCAAAATTATGCTCTCGAAAGATTTGCTATGTGATTTAATTTGCTTAAAGTATGATTTTCTCACTTATAACTAAGTTAAGACTACAACTGCATAGTTAATTATAATCGATAATTGTTTTTTAAATAATATTTAATATTTATATTGCTTCCCGCAAGTATTAAACTATTCGGCACCATAAATACTTTTGACATTTTTAATGGCGTCTTCTAATGTTTTCATATTGCAACTTTTTCTTAAATAATGATGCTCCTGTCTCTCCTCAAGCATCTTAAGTAATTACTTATTTGTTCTTCTTTTAAAAAAAGGTGGTATATATACGTTTTTTTCCAATCTCATTAGTCGTAGTTCTTAAAATTGTAGTCCGTGTCGTCCAGCAATGCCACTTTCGTATAATTTGCAAAGAGATTCTGTTCGCGCAGTTGGTAGAATAGTCGATCCTGTAGAGCTGGTGTGTCCACCATAGGCAGATGTTGTACCAATGCCATCACTTGTGTACGCTTGTTGTTTTCGGCGTCTCTGGTAGATATATGTCCATATTGCTATTACTGATAATTGGGCAAGGAGGAATACAGTTGTTGCAACAATGAGTCCTGTTGTAAGAAATATTAAAAAATTTTGAAATTAACAAAAAGAATAAGGATTTTAAAGATAAAAACTATCAACAATATTGACTAGATTGAATCTGTGCTAAGTAATTTAAATAAAAATCTTGAAAATTAAAATTTTTGAAAAGAATTTTAAAATTTGTAGATTTGTTAAAAAATTCGTATAATTACATTCTCTTATCAATCTATGACTTGAATTAAATTATATAGATTTAAACCATTTAATTAGGGTTTTCACCTTCTGTTTTTTCTAATGTTTTTCCTCTAAGATTATTCTTAAGTACTAGGTACTTGCACATTCATATGTATATACTTCATATGTATGAAGTATATGAAGTACTTGTATTTGCCAGCACCTGTTTTTAATATTCTAATATCACAATATTATTGTGAAGTATAGGCTCTGTGATTTTTATATTTATTAAATGTTAAGGCAAGAAATTCATGGCCAATAAATATCATAATTAAAAAGTTATCTATCTTTTATCGCACTATAGTAGTATATTATTCTTGTCACCATATATTGTCTTCAGATCACATCATAAATTAGTAGTTGCAAATGTTTGTTTCTATAAAATATCTTTGATCCAATAAAAGTGTTTAACTTCTTTAAAAAAAATCATTTTTAGCTCAGAAGACTGCACTGGGCAATACCTCTGCTTTTACCAGCAATAAATAATTTTTTCCAATTTTTTTTAAATTTGTTTTCTATTTTGTTCTTTAACGACCTTAACACTATCGATATCTGTGAGCTGCCTAGCACTTCTTACTCCCCCGCATTTTACGCCACTTGTGCTTACCAATTGCATTAACGCAGAACCCTTGTGTAGCGTCATTAGAGATGAAAACGGTCTCTCCGCTGGTATCGTATGCGGATGTTTTGGTTTGCTGTTGCTTATCGAATCCAAATTTGTCAGTGATCTGAATTGATTGCACTAAAAGCATATCGTCCTGGCTGGGTTTTTTTGTTGTCTCACGACGAGATCGTTGTCGAGTGTTGCCAATAAATGTTTCTATTCGATTAGAAAAAAAAAATAGGAAAAGAGGAAGAAATAAAATAAAATAAAATTTAGTTTTATTGAAAATCGTGTAGGCGATAGTGACGAAAGTTACTTTAAATGATGAAGACATAAAATAAAACGTCATCATTACGAAAATTTAAGTACAGAAACTTTGCCCGCGGCTATTGCAAGCAATTTACAAAAATAAAAAAACAAAATAGTATGAACACATAACTTCAAGGAAGCGAGTAAATCGTGATAATGACAGTGTATCGACATGGCATCAAATATCAAATCTCAAACTTAAATCTTTTGTTTTTGTATTTCTTTAACTCTTATTTGTGCCACCTTCACTCACCTGTTGCGTTTAATGAACGCCTTCTTCTGCGTCCGTACGAAGTCAGCGATTTGAGTTCAGCACTGAAATCATCTTGGTCGCATTGTACGGGCTCACATGTTGGCATGCATGGTGTGACCAAAGCGCGGAATTGCACAACTTCAGACGATGGAAATTTGAAGGCATCAAAGTGTGACAACAGCACCTTACCAGATAATGAACTCTTGTTAATTGGTCCCATGATGAAGTGATCTGTTGGGCAACCCCTTGAGTCAATAAGCGTTATTTCAGCATTATCACCACCATCCATAGCCACAAGTTCGCGTACGAATATTTCATAAGGACTTTGCTCGTCAAGTATTTCAAATTTAAGTGCTAATGGATCGCCAACTTCAGCTGAACGCATAACATCTGAACCATCGCGTGATGTTATTTTCATGATGACATTAGGTGAATCGACTATTACTTCTTCTGATAGTGCTGGTTCTATATCACCCTTAACATCTAAGTCAACGTCATTCGTGACAGATTTGTTAGTTAAATCATATTGACAAGTAACTGCTAATCCCAAATCTGATGATGTCACAATTGTGTCATGATGTTGTATGACAACATCGTTAACATAGCGCCCTGAACCGCTTTGACGTACATTACACTCTAAATCTTGGTAGCCCATGCGCAATTCAAAGTCAAGTGCTGTCTTGACATCCACCGCGCAAGATTTTGGTGAACCCTTCGCATACACTTTGCCGTCGAATAGTTTAGAAGTTCTGATACGTGCGATCATATCACCTGCACCGCACTCTATTGTGACATTGTAACAAGAAGAGAGTTCATATGTAGATGCTTCCGGTACTTCTAAGTAAGGGTCCTCTACATCGGCTAATGTTGCTCGGCTATGATGAGATAGACGGCAGACCATATCACCAGTATCACCATAGTCATATGAGTGACATCTATTGTGAAATATAATTAGAGACTTGAGTTTTGTACTAAATGCTAGCGAATATATTTTTAAAATAAGCTGAGGTTTAATCTTATTACTTATAATAGTAGCAAGAATTTCTATTCGTGTATTTAACACTTATATTTATTGATATGTAAGAAACTTAATACCGATCTTATAATACTAGTTATTAATTCTATATTCTTTTCTCACTTACCTGTAAGGAGAATTTAAACATAAATCACGACACTCTTCTATACTACCCACGTCCTGATAAACAGAGTCAACGGTCTTCAAAATTCGACCGGACAAACGTTTGAATTCGCACAATTTATTTGGCTCTTCGGCGCAATTATTTTCCAAATAATCGATATCATCCCGCGGTTGGAATGCACTCGTACCGGCCAAAGTGATGCGATCCATTTCGGAGAGTTCACAAGTATTCGTATTGCGATAATAGTTTGCTGATCTGTAATGATAATTTAAAATGGTTAAAATATTTGTTGTTGTTGTTATTGTTGGTGCTGCAGATATCGAATTGCAAAATTGTTTATCTGCAAATCGCAAATGTTGTAGCAACATAACCTAAAAATGTCACACAATTACAAAAATGTTTATTACACATTGGTGGAACATTTCCAACGAGAACTTGTTGCAAACGTACTCGTATTAGCCTAAACAGGCAACACTAAACATGTGGCAACATTGGTGCAATGCCTAGCGCAACACGGCAGCACAAACAGGGACGTTCAATACGAAATTGGTTAAGTTTGCTCTTGGTAATGTTGCCACAATTGGATCAACTTTTATTGCTGCTGTTGCAGCAGTTGTAGCAGTTGTGTCAGTTGTGTTTTTGTTGTCAACAGCATTTATTTACGTCAATTAAAACAAAAATGGTAACGTTTATTGCGGCTTAAATTATTTCTGGCAATGGAATTTTATTGCAACAGTTTTAAGAGGCTTTAATATTTTGCCAATCGGCAGATAGCATCACTGTCTCTAACTCAGTTCTCAGTTGACTTGTTGTAGCAACTATTGCTATTGGACGATTTTGTGGCATTGCTTAAATGATATGTCGATATGTGTGTGGTCCTTGTGTTAAATAAGCGATCTAATCGCGTTGGTGTTGCATACTTAATGAAGCATCACTTGGTTTGGTTTGTGGCACAACTGCTGACAATTTTGGGCTCTCTTTTCGAGGAATGAACTGAATTTGTTTGAATTCTTGAATTTATTTAATTGCTATTATTTTAAAGTACAGCTTATTTATTTTTACGATTTCTTATTTAGAAATTCTATACTGAGATTTTATGATCTCGCATTAAGTTACTTAATTTGAAGTTCTTGCACAAAGCAATGATTAAAGATTTTCCTAAATTAAGTATTAACTTTTATGGAGCTAATAAAATTTGTATAAAAAGATATTGTGTTCCATTATTATTTCACATAAAGACTATAGTTATTTTTAATTTCATTTAATTTATAAAATATAAACAGTAAAGAAGAATATAATACTTTTGGAAAAGAACATAATCCGAATTTAAACAGAAATCTGTTCTTATAAGTTCAATCATGTTACGAACAGAGTTAATTTAATGCTGATATCTTTTTCTATAATATATTGTCTTTAGTTTTTCACTTGTAGCTATATTGACAACCAAAAGTTGGACTGTAGTATGATTTTTTGTTTATATTGAAAAATAACATTGATAATTTTGGCTAATAAAACGATAATTTGTACTATGGACTAGTGCTGTTCATATTATTCGAATTTTTTTAAAAGTCGAAGTTTTTAGATTATTCGAATATTCGTATTTCAACGAAGTCTTCGAAGTTGGAAATAAATTCGAATTTTTTGTAAATTTTTTTTCTCGAAGTCTTCGAAGTTCAAGTGCAGTGAAAAACTTCGAAGACTTCAAAGACTGTATCACACAAATTATTTGAGGGATGAAAGCATTTCGAATATTCGGATTCTTCGAATACTTCGTAAATTCGAATACGAACAGCACTACTATGGACAGACGTACAGTTGTCATTTTTACTCTAAAATTTATTTTCGCTCTGTATAATACATATATACATAGATTATAACTCTTGTTTTGTTAAACACATTTCTGGTATAAGGTAGGTAGTTGAATTGGAAAAAGTATCAAATCATCCTCAATTAATTAAGAAAGCCGTTTTCGAATCAGTGGACGCTTTAATAAATACAAATATCTGGGTAATATGAATGTTGGCAATTACACACAGTGAATTAAATGATGAAGTGCTTAAAAACTAAAGTCTAGTTATGGAAGACCTAGACATAGGCATAACGGAGGTTCTAGTGTCTCCTACTCGAGCAGCGGTAGACATGTTTTACAAGAGATTCGGCAGGTTCGCCAACCTGGCTTAATGCTGCCATGTAGTTCAGTGGCGTATTAGAAGCAATATTATCTTAGATACTTTTAATATATTTGTATGAATTAAGTTAGTTGTTCTACATTCTGGTTGCCTTGAAACTGTTTTGGACAAAATGCAGTTACAGACATTAATTTTGGAGTCTTACCTTTATATTCCCACAATTCATTGAGGAACCATTTACAATATAGAATAATAGAGAAATGAAAGATATATATTTCAAGCATAAAACGTCTTGTCACTTATATATCCTTATGATGTTACTACATATCATAACTACTTATTCTTATACATCATACTTTATAGTTTTTGTCGGCATATTTAAAAGTCATTTCACAGAAATTTTTAAAATAATTCTTAATCTTCCGTCAGAATGTATAATTTTACAGATAAATCAGCTAAGAACTTACGTGCTGTTAATACAGTTTAATGTATTGCATTGCAATAAATTATTTCATAATTGCATTTATCTTAAGTAAAAATTATTAATATTAGAGCTCAGATACCGCTAACTCGTATTAATGCGGGCGTTAAAAATCCATACCGCTTCACGTTCAATGGCACAATCACTTCATGTTAACACGAATACGTTCGCGTCTAATTTGAATTTAATTATAAATTATTAAAAGCGAACTGAAGTGAGTCATTGCGTTCCAATGATCGCAATGAAGTACATGGGAACGGCGGCTAAAGACTTTGCAGTCGCCTGCGAATCTCTTTAAATTTATTGACTATTGCTGTCCACGAAAAAGTAGCCGAGCTAACGGATACTGGTCATGGTTAATAAAGAAAATCGACTCCAAAAATTAAAAGAACAAAAAAAAAACAAAAAACAAACAGCATTGCAGCAAAATTATAACGTGCAACTGAATAAGTAGCACATGCGCAATTGCAGCAACTGGACGGCGACTAAGAACAGGCACGCAACATGCAGCAGCCGCTGTAGAAGAAGATGCACTTCTGTAGACTGCGTCATTCTAGCGTTTACAATTGTTGCTGCGCTACCAAAAGTATTTCGTCGACTTTATCGGTTTTGAGTTATGATGGCGAAGATGATATTACCGCTTTTGCGTCGTTGCGGCAGTGTTTGAGTGTTGTTAAAATTCAAATGCATTTCAGCGAATGCGCCTACTTTTTTACATACGAGCGTGGCTGCTTTATGTACTGCGCATGTGCAACGTATTATCAGCAATCGTGATTTGTAATCCTGAGAAATATGTTGTTGATACAAATATTGCTACCAATATTATTTGAACGCAGTGGCGATGGCGATGTGCTGTGGTGTTATGTTGGTACACAATCTTGGAGAGATTCGTTATCGTTTCATTTTCATGCTTTCTGCTGGAGATCGCGAATGTGGCAAGGATGTCAGTTACGCTAGTGCGTTTCATTCTGGAATTTCAGTCGATCTGTTGCTGCTCTAATTGCCGCACGCTTTTCTAACGAATATAGTGTAGCTTCAGTTCTCTTACTAATGTTTGGTAGAAGATATTGGTAATTTATCTTACTTCCTAGAATTTTCGCACTAATTTATTGCATTTCCCATGTTTCGATGTTGCGAAATTTAATTTAAAGTTTGCTGAGGAGGCATGGCTTGGATTTAATATATAAGTGCAAATATTGACCAATATCTGATATTAAGCTGTTGCACTTGTTTTTTGTGGATTTAAGAATTAATTTAATAATATAGAGATGCTATTAGCAAAACAAAACATAAGTATAAAGGTAAAGTGTGGCACCAATAACCCTAAAAGGAATAAAATGAAACATTGTATGCTGTAATTGTTCTTCCGGCATAAAAATTTATCAGTAGCCGCGATCAACCTCGATCCACCTCGATCCACCTTTTGAATTGTTTGAACTCGTATAAAAATTTGTCATGAGCTTTGGATTTACATCAACTTTTTTTTTGTGCTTTTTTAAAACTGCATTTGCAACAAAAGTGCAATTTTATGCTTGTTGCCTAAAATCTGCTTCGATCTGCTTCGAGCTCATAAATTATCATTTACAATGTGCGGCTTTTTTGTTGCTGTTGATTTTCTTGATAAGAAGTCATCAACAATAAGAATTTTTGGGTTGGCCAAAAAATTGCTGACCATTTCATTTTTGCCATTGTTCTGCCAATCTTTTGCTGCAGGTTATTTTCAGTTGTGGTTGCTATGAAAGTTTTGAGGCATCCTTTAATTTTTTTGTCGATGAGGCGTTCCGTTCTGGTTTTGGTTTGGTCTGAGAAAAGTGACTGAATTTCGAAATTCCTTACAACGTTTTTATATTTTAATCTTTTGAGAAGTATTTATTCCTTCTTCCTTAATGACTTTTAAGGCGGTTGTGTAACAGTAATAAACAAAATCAGATTGTTAGTTGTTTACTCTTTTTTTAATTAAATTTAAAAATTTATTGTATTTAAAAAATGTACGAAACTTTCAAAAGACTATATTTAGTGAGTTTAGTGAAGGTTTATTGTACCCTTTTGGATGATTTAAATCTTCTCTTCTTTTGTTGCTTCGCATTTATCAATCTTTGATTAACAAAAACAAAATTTTTGCACTTAAACTAAAGTTTTAGTATCAAAACGTTCACTTAGATACAGTTGAAACGGGTTCAATAACCTTGTTTAAGAAGTAAACATTTTCATCAACAGTATCATTTAAGAATATTTTAGGATATTGGAATAGTTAAAATAAATACTAATATGAATATGTCTTTTCACATGTAGTACAGTTAAGGTCACAAGTAGAGCAGTGGTATTACAATGAATTTATAGGATCTGATTGAGTTGGTCATATATTCAATTAAATTAAAATTACATTGCCTTTGCATTACATTGATAGATTAAAACCGACATTGCCTATATACTGTAAATCTTTAAGAACAAAGTAGAAGTATGTCAGCCTGGGCCTGCGCTAACG